ACAAATGCAAGCCATGTTATAAGTGATATGCATAAAACATGTGAATCATTTTCTACTGAAGCAGACCTCTGACATCCAAGTAGGCACTCCACGATGTTTCTCCACTGGAGCTGGTAGCAACGCAGGTATACAGCCCTGAGTCAGACAGCTAAGAAAAACACAATTTAAATTTCAAGTTAATTCAAGCTCCCATTTAATCTGACATCTACAAGAACTGGGCAGATTTCAAAACTGCAACAGAAACCAAATTCAACACTAAAAAACAGTAACTAATGATAAAAAATAATAATAATGATTGCAGACACTGTGTCTATTAAACTAACAAACATTTTCTCATCTGCATCATAATACAGCTTTTAGAGTGTACTCTGTTGCTTTGTACAGCTGAATCCAACTCTGATCCCAGATGGTTTCCAGAAGCTCTTACGTCAGTCTGGGCTTTGCACCTACTAGTACAGTAAAAACGCATTAACCTCCGCTGCCCTGCATTTGGCTCGAGAAAAGCCGGAGAGTGGATGAGAGGGAACTTTAATGCTGGCCAATGAAAAAAAAAAAAAAAAAAGACAGATCCCAGTGAAAGCTTACATTAATTTTCTTAATTGATTTGCTCCAGTAATGGTCACCCGCCATTCCAAAAGCCATTGACATTATCATCACTAGTGCTGACACAGGAAATAGTAGATATGACAACCAATTTCATATTGGCAATGCCTTAGGAGAGACTGACAACTATGTTATCTCTCGAGAGAAAGTACACGAGTGACACAGGAGGAGCACTTTGACATTGTGACAGTACAGCGTATATTGGAGATTTTCCATTTTATTCCCCTCTTAAGACTTCTGAATTCAGACTATATAAAAGACTTTAAAAACTAACAAAAATCTATACTCACTATTTACCATTTAACAGCAACCTGACTGTACCTGTTCATCTGTAATGCATTGAAGCTGACATCATTTATCAGATACGTAGATTCCTCTTTATTCTTTCACACGCAATGAAGGGTGTGAAAGCTACACATGCAAAAACAAACAAAAGCCCCATAGACTAAATATGCTGTTTTGCTTTCATGTGTTTATGAACTGCATTCACATTCACTTCAATGTCCTTCTCACCAAAAGAGAAAGATTTCACTGCAAAATATATGAATAATTTGCAGGTCAGAGGAATGTGAAATATGTGCAGTGGGATTAATTGAAGGCACAATAATCAACAGGAGATTCAATTGATATGCTGCTGAGAAGATAACAAGGGCATTTTAATTTTGGTGGTAAAACACTGTCTCCAAGATTAATTAACTGTCCTTTGTTTTGATTAATTAGTCCTGAGGTCCTGATTGAACTATTGCAAAGGACACTTCAATTCCGTCTGCCACATCTGGCATGAGGAAATATAAAGGTCGTACGTAATGCTAACTGGCAGAATGTTTGCTGCAATTGTGGTTTATCATTTTATATATTTGGTAATTTTTTCATCTCTTTTAAAAAAATTAATTAGACTAAACCAAGTGAACAACTAAAACCTAGGAAAACAGCTGACTGGCAACAAAGATGGATTGAATGCCAGGAGCCCAGCTGGCATTTAAAAAACAAAAAAGAAAAAGAAAAAAGAAACACTACTATATATGCTTTAAACATCCACAGACTGAGCAGAAAAGTCAGATGTAACTGGAAAGTGATGTCAGTGAAGAGTCTTTTAAAACTCAATTCTTTCTAATGACAGGCATGGAGAAACGTAATTTGTTGGAGACAAGATTAATTATCTAGAAGTCTAGAAAAAGAAAAAATACAACTTTTCACTCAGCAAGTAGTTTCTTAATATGTCTTACGTCTGAATCACAAGTTTCATTTAGAGTTAAACGAACACTTAAGTTGAGCATGATTCACGACTATTTTGTGGCAGATCAGTTGCTACTCTTTCCAATAATATAAGAGAAAATGCCTTTAAAATAAGAGTCCAGAAACCAGTGGGAAACTCAGCGGTGATCTATGGTTAACCCATCAACTTCTTCCAACTGGACTTCAATCATTTTTTAAAGCAAAGTTATGGGGAAAACAATTAAAATAGCAATTAGAGCTATTCTTTGGTGGTTAGTAGGCTACTGTCCCCAGAAGAAACTAGAGTACATATTACAGATACAAGGTATCGCTCGCTACTTCAACATAACCCACCCTGGTACTCTGGATCTGAAGGCTGCCATGTTCCAGAAGGGAAAACCTTGTGTCCTTTCCAAGCAGATTGGCCCCATTCTTCCGCCAAGTGATTGTAGGCTCTGGGTCCCCAGACGCCTGACACCTGAGTAGGGACATGCCTCCCAAAGCCTGAGTTTGGTTGGATGGGCCCTGCCGGATGATCGGTGGTGGGCGGTCCTTCAGGGCTGAGTATAACAATCAAGAATCCGGTGTTATTATTTGAATGCTTTCCTAACAATGTAATTTGAATGTCATAGTCTTGGCAAGAAACATGCAACTGTTTTCTTGGTAGTTATCAGATTTGTGGGAAAAAATACATGACCTTATCAGAAGGTGTTAATTTGTGATTGCAATAATTATATTTGTGGTTGCATGCCCGAGATGTTAGGGTTCAATCTGGTGGATTTGTTGTGAGAGGAACTGACTGTTTTGTGAGCTTTTTCCACAGTAGGGCGGAGTGTTCATGGCACTGCATCACACCTTTGAGTTTTAATTACTAGGTGAGGATTAACGATGCTTCACCCGTGGTGCTAATTACCATACCTTCTTTATAACACCTTTCAGCACATTCATGCCTGTCCTCTCTCTTTCCACTGTGACTCATGGCTCTATCTCCACCCTTTTGGCAAGTCCCCCACAAACACACATGAACGAAACTCAGAATTAGCATGCCAAGCAGAACAACAATACAACTCTTTTAAAGCTTTTTAGAGCATGTTATATCATCCAGAAAACAGCCTCTGCACTCTCAAACAGTAATTTCGGTAGTGTTGAATCTCTCTAGGCCTTGTAACTATCCCTCGCTTCCAATTTCCTCACTGCTGCTCTCCACTGTTATCAGGGCTGTCTCCATTCACACAAGTGTTTACAGCAGGCTCTCTCTGCCTTATCTTTCATCACACCTCCTTCAGGACAATGTGCAATACAGCAACTCAAGCAGAATAACAGAAAAATCATGTACAACTAGGTGCAGCGTAGTGTACAGTAAGCAGAACCGCATGTGATTTTCAGAGAGCTAAATTGTTTGCACATATATGGCAATATTATCACGTTGTGTTGTTGAAAAGTATATATTAAGGTTTAACTTAGATGTAAATGTGAACATTAAATAAATGGGAAGATGCCATTATTACTTTTTCTAGTTCAACACAAAATTAGTTTATGTGTTATCTAACAAAAGATGCTCTAGCAAACGTTTTCTAATATTACATTTGCTGTAGAGCACGCTCTCATTATCCCAAGTGATTACGGTATAAACAAAAATATGATATTGCGTTTCCTGATTTAGTCTGCTCTGTGAAAAATGCAATCATACTCACAAACCTTGGTGACAAAAGAAAAAATTACAATACTGCTTTCCAAGGTTGTTACAGGGATGCAAGAGAACACTCTCCAGTATTAGTCCCTGCTGCTACTTATTGAACTGTATCAAAACACTAATTACTGATTATGCATAAGAATATCAATTTCTACACTGCTGGTCCAGGTTTGTAGTCTTCAATCAAACATCACAGCTAAAAAAAATAGCTAAAGTTATAGCTATACTTACATAGTTATAAAGTACTTTTACACTCACGCATATTAGAGAAACCAGCACTTCAGAAAATCCTTATCTAGTGGACACATACAGTATGGCAGCTGATCGTACAAGCTTAGTGCATGCCACAAAACGATACAATTCAAGCTTCCAAACATCCCAGGCGTCACGCCAACTCTATCCATCTTTGTTTTCAGCCATCAGTCAAAGGAATTTCTCCTATCCCTTGCGCTCTACACCTTACATTTGGATATTTATCCATCTCCTCTGAGTGACAGAACAGAAGTCATTTGCTCTCCAAAAAAACACTTCAACAGATGCTAATTTAATAATGTGTGGGAGAAAAAGCCAAGAAACAAATGGGGAGAAGGGCATAAACAGCTCCCAGCTGGCAGCAGCTCAGCACTTAATGCTGACATTAAAGCTTTGTCAAAAAAAAAAAAAAAAAGCGTTGCGTCTCTCCATGAAGTAGATCGTTTTATTTTACATGTTTTCAGTCTTTAAAAAAGTAAGGTGCAAATGGAAAGGTTCATTGTCAGTGGCTGGCTTTTAGAAGATACAGATGCATCTTTGTAAATGTGGGCAGATAAATTATCTTTGATACAGTGGTGTTCAGTGTTTGAGTAATGTTATAAGCTATATGTGCCCCATCAAAATAATAAACATTGATGAGACTCTTAAGTTATGCACAATGTTATTATGCTGATATACTTTACGCACAACATTGCGAAATCACTGTAACTTCAGGAAGCAAAGTTTTCTTTAACATCTCTCATCTTTCTTTTATCCTATTTGCTCTTTAATCCAGCTAAACTGTGTATATATAAATTGCATAACTTGATAAGTGGTATTTTCCTTCATAGGTAAACATTTTCTCTCTCTGTGAGGATGGTGTCTGCTATATCTACTCTCGTCTTACCGTCTGCTACTTCAAGCTGGGCCTTGGCCATGATGCTTCCGGCCACAGTGAGGGCTTGGCAGATGTAGTACCCCGCATCTGAGCGCTGTACAGGAGAGATGGTCAACTCTCCATTCACAGACACAGACACACGGCTGTCTCCTTGTGCTTGCTGACTGGGGAAAAGAAGATCCTATTGGGAGGGACAGTGGGGAGAAACGTAAATAAACTAGATGATGTACTCGTTTAGTAGCACAAAGGTTTGGTTCATATTAACACGATAGCATCACACAGTTGATGTAGATTTGTCAGCTCCACATCCATGACACAAATCTCCTGTTAAACCACAGTGCAAAAGTGCTCTGTTGGATTGAGATCTTGTGACTGTGGATGCCATTTGAGTACAGTGAACTCTGTTTAATGTTCCAGCATCCTGCTGGAGGCAGCTATCAGAAGATGGGTATACTGTGGTCATAAAGGATCGACATGGTCAGCGAGTAGACTCAGGTAGGCTGTGACATTTAAACAATGCTCAATTGGTACTTAGGGCCCCGGTGTTTGTCAAGAGCATACCTCACAAACCATTACACCTGCAGCCTGAGTTACTTAGCCAAGGCAGGATGGATCCTGCTTTTATGTTGTTTATGCCAAATTCTGACCATACAAGCTAACTGTCCAGGCAGAAATTCACACTCATTAGACCAGACAATGGAATTCCAGTGTTATCCAAAATTGGACAATGTTGAGCCCGTGAAAATTGTAGCGTCAGTTTTGCGTTTCTCTGATGCGGTCTTCTGCTGCTATACCCTGCTTCAAGATTCAAAATGTTGTGCATTCAGTGATGCTCTTCTGTATAATTGCAACAATTGTAACGAAACAACCTTATCTGACTAACTGTTGCTTTCCTTGTCAGCTGGGAGAGGTCTGGCTATTCTACTCTGACCTCTAACATCAGCAAGGCATTTTTTTCTCAAAGAACTGCCACTCATTGGATATTTTTGGATCATTCTCTGTAAATCCTAGAGACAGTTGTGTAAGAAAATCCCAATGAGTCAGGGTGTTGTTGCTATTCCAGCCTGTCTGGCACCAAGAACCATGCCAAAGTCACTTAAATCTAATTTCTTCCCCATTCTTAAGCCTGGCTTGAACTTTAGCAGGTTATCTTGACCATGTCTACAAGGCTAAATGCATTGAGTTGTTGACATGATTAGATTAGATATCTGTATTAAAGAGCAGATCATGTTCATGTAATTAAGTGGACTGAGTGAGTGTTCTGACAATGCTCGGGTCATGTGTTTAGCTCGCCAGTGGTCGAATATGATGATACGCACTATTCCTGACAGTTATAGTTATTATTAATTATTTCAAAATGATTCTTCCGACCAAAACAACATCAACACATGCTTTCAATATACTTGAATATTCACTCCCCTGTGTACAATTCGGTTAGAAAAGTGGGTCAATGTCTGTTTCCTACAAGGTCTGAATAGCTGTTTACCACAAGAGTGCTAATTCTACTGTGATAACCTGAAGTCATGGTCATAAAACTGAGGCATCAGCGTTGTCCATTTCTGCACCCTAGGCAGACAAGCTGATGGGCAGGAAAGGACATTAGCCTGCTTTCATTATGTCTAATGACTCTAATGCAGTACATGACATTGTCTCTTGCTAAGTGAATTGGCTAGTCAGACCAGTGTAGATTGATGATAAATGACCACTTCATTATATGCATGTGGAACAGAACCGCACTGCTTACCATTGGCTTGTTCCATTTAGTCAGATTTTGACCATTTTATGAAAAATTATTATGCTAGTTGTGTAATCGATGCCTGTATAGGAATGCAAGCCTAAAAGAGACACGCACACCACCCTACAAAACAAATAAAAATAAGTACATATCGTTCAAATCACAGTCTTTATCCTTACCTGGCTCCCTTCTCTTTGCCAGAAGACAGTGGGTTGAGGTTTTCCTCTGGTCTCACAGGGAAAGGTTGCTGTTCGTCCTTGAGCGACTATTTGGTCACGGGGACGCACCACAAACTGAGGTGCCTCTGAGTTTAAAGGCAAAATAAACCATAAAACAACTGCAAAGCAATTTTACAGAATTCTGATTGTGTTTTTAACAGGACTCCAGTTAAACTTTCAAAGTAAAATCCATAAACTGAATGTCCAGCTGCTAATTAAAGGGATTCATGCACTGGGTTTTACTGACTGAAAAGCTATACAGCTAAAATGAGCTAAATCCAGCTGCCAAAGTATCAGAATATTTAATAATAACTCATATATCTTCATTTTTTTCTAAATAAGGCACATCTCACATATCTGTAACTCATTTTATTTCTTTTTAAAGTGACGTGGTAAATTTAAGGACTGCGGGAATAAATCAGTGGTTGACTAAAACAACCTATATATGCATGTCTAAAATTAGTTTGATGGTTGCGTTTGTGGAATGCCACAACGGTACATGCATACTGAACAGGTGTGTGATTAAAAACAAAGAGCAGCGCATGCACAATGGGATCAGCTCTTACTTACCAACGGGGCGAGCTGATGACACAACAATGGTGTGAGTGAGATTTACACACAACACAGAGAGAAGGAAAGCAGAGGAGTAGAACAGAGGGACAGAAAACAAAAAAGAAATTAATGAAAATCAGAGATGAATGAGATGGAGTTGGGTTTCCATCCATGAAACTCAGGGACAGGGAGGGTAAAAATCAGTCACCAAAGCAGGTGATGACGTGGACCTTGAGGAAATAGTACCTTGTTGGTGTTTGTGAGATAAGAAACTGATGGCAAAAACTGCTGAACAGTTATATCGCTAATGATTTATCAGTTTTAAGACTAACAGACTTGCAAACTTAATAGATCTGTTGGTAGATCAAAAGTCATGTAAATGAAATGGATCAATGATGAGAGCGGGCTGATTAAAGATGAGATATGTTGTGTACATTATGCTGTGTTTTCTATGTATTTGTTGTTAAGAAGTTAAGAAGATAATTTTAGGTGATTCAAAATCAGCTGCACTTGGTTTCCTTTCTTCTGTCATACATACAGTCTGTTCTATCATCAAAGTGTCAGCTGACATTTAACATGTCCAAAGTTTAAAATAAGAAGGTCGGAATATGTGCTGAGGTAATGTAATCCTTTTTTGGTTATGTTTCGTTAAGAAAGTTGGCTTAAAGTGAGGGAAGGAGAGCTAAACCAGCTCATTTTAGGCAGCGGAGAAAATACACCAAGGACAAGTACAAGAAAAATAAGGATTATTTTGATGTTTGAGTCACGTGAAGCTACATCAGTAGAGTCCAGGAACAAAAATGTGGAGTGTATGCAAATGAGTATCCCCTTTTAGCTCTGTCAACAATGTTTTTTCATACAAAAAAGAAGGAAAGAGAAAAACGAAAAGCGGAGATAATGTTATTGGTCTGAATTTGGCTTAATTTTTGCTCGAGCTTTTCAAATATGAAACAGCTTCTTCCCACTGATAAGGTGTAAATATGGAGTGAGTGGCTGGATGGAGAATTAGCCCCCCAGGAGAGGTCATAAAAGTTCACTTAAAGCTGGTAAGATTGTTCATATCTGGCGCCTAGCTGGAGATCTAGAGCAATCAACTACATCAGCCCACTGTATGAAAGAAAAGCTGAGGCCAGGCCTAGCCTTTCAGCAGGGGGGCAATAATGCTCATAAAGTGGGCAATAAAGGACTGATTGTCCTGTGGCCTGCTTTGGGAGATACAAAAAAAAAATATTAGGGATGGGTTATGAGCTTTGCCAAGTGTGAGTCCACAACCAGTTACCCACCTCTGATAGTCAGATAGGCGGAGGCCTCCGCTTTACCCACACGGTTCTCTGCGAGGCACGTGAAGGTTCCCTGATCAATCATGGATGCTTTCTTTATCCTCAAAAGGAAGTCGTCTTTTTCATATCTAATGTCATACCTGGTGACAGAGAGGAACAGTGACAGCAAGTCAAGTAACATCCCCAGCTGATTTAATAAAGCTGGAAGCATGATAACGGTTATATGCAAATTAAAAATCTCACTTTTAAAGTGTAGTGTAAAAACAACAAACAAACAATGATATCAAGTTGCTGTTGTATAAACTACCGTGTGATGTTTTAGATGGAAGCTTTAAAAGGGTTGTGTCTTTTTTTTTGATACATTAAAGGCAGACTTTCTAAGGCAATTTCTACAGTGCTAGAAAAAGGGAAGTAATTATATTGCGATGAATGCATGGCAAAATGAAAGGTGCTTTCAGCTGGAACCCTGACTGTTCCACTTTTTCAATATTTATAATGACGAACCACCCACTGTGGTGTGGGCTGTGCAGTATACCTACGTGTGTGTGTGTGTGCCTAAGTGTATGAGTGTGGAAGAGAGCAACGAAAAAAGACAGAAAGGCAGAGGGAGAGAGAGAGAGAGAGAAAGAGAGGGAGGAAGAGATAGACAAACAGTCTGAGAATAAGGGAGTGGCATAGTCTGACAAACAGAGTATGATGAATGAGCTGAGCAGTAAGAAATGACTAATTCATAGAGATGTTCCATGCATCAGTGTGTATCCACCAGTGCAGCATACTGTAAGTCAGCATCACTGAAGTTAGAGGGAGAGAAACATCTAAGCTACCAGAGTTTAGATAAGTGCCTCATAGGGGCTACAGACAGAATGAGTAAAGGAGCAAGGAGTCGGGCTCTCCCTCTCTCGGGTCCCTTTTGGCGTGAGCGATCCTGTGAAATTGTCTAGCCAGCCATACTGATTCAAAGATGGGAGACAAGTCGAGCAGAGAAATGGCACAAGGGGTGAGAAAAAGTCACATCAGAAATAGCTCTTCCAAAGGGTGTGGGCGGAATATCGATGGGAGTTGTGGGGTCTGTCCAGAGTCTGGTGAGGACTCCATTCACAGCACATCCCTGACCCAGATACAGACTTCCCAGGAGGCTGGTGGGTTTCGGAAAAGAATGAAAGAAGTTGAAGGAGGGAAGTGAGGCGAGGTAGGCCTGAAAGTAGGACATGTTTCTGGAGTCAGGGGGTACTGAGGTACAGGACATAACATAGGTAAGCAGACAGACTGCCAGACATAGGGCGGCAATCAGTTGTTATAGTCTAACTCAAAATATAATCTAACATAGAGGCACTTTATAGCGTGTTAATGGCTTACACCATGTTTATTTCTTTTTAAAAGTAAAGCCATTAAACAGCATTCATTTCGACATGAATAATCACATTTTTGTATAAAAAAGATGAACTACTATGTTTCGGCTAAGGAAAACATACCCTTCAATGCTTTAATTAACTAATATAGCTGATTAATTTCGAAGCAGCTCCAAAAGTAATTGAAAACATCTCCAAGAACAAAACCTATAATTATTTTTGCATTACAGCTGCAAAATTGAATCTCAGAAGCAGTTCAGAGAAACAAATAAACTAGTTAAACAGTCATAACTATAGACTGCTGTTGCGATTAGCATAATTGCAGTGTACCTAGTGCTGTACTGGCTGATAGGCTGATAATATTTATAATGAAATAGTTTAGACAGAATGCTTGCCATGGTTGTTTTTTTATTTAATTAAATGTAATTGTCTTTTACAGTTTGTGATAAAAATCTGATTCATATCACATCTTGCAAAGTCCTTGAAAAATGTCTGAAATGACGAGCTGATGTAAGTTACATACTTCAGACAATGACAATTTATCAGTCTTCAGACTTCAAACTTCAGTTAGAGAAATGTAGTGACTGAATCACACTGTTTCTATGCAGAGATCATATATTAAAAGCATATAAAGCATAAGACAAACAATGATAGGTTAATAATAACTTTTTAAAATGAATACTCCTATGTGATACACGAACTGATGCATATGATGTGGCCTAAATGTGTGGAACAAATCGCAGGAACACTACATATTATAAAGCAATCCATTGCAAAATTACCATAAACTGGATTAAAACATGACATGATTAAATAAACACCATTACAGCTGAATATCCAGTTACTAGGCCATTGTAGTTCGTTTCCTTTATACTCTAGACAGTATATAGGATCCTATTGTGTTTCTTTTAGTGCCTTTTGTGCCACAATTGAATTGTACAAAGCTGGCATTAGTAAAAAGAACACAGGGACAGACATTCATGTGTTTTTTGGCTGAGGAATTTAAACAGCAAAAAAATGAGATTCTCTGCAGCTAATAAATTATTTTTTGACAGACTAATTAAAGTCTCCCATGAGTAATACAGTATGTTAAAACTTCTTTTCCTGATGGGACTCATTAGCTCTCCTCAAACATTTATCTATTATCGTTTTAGCATCGATACACATTCACACAAACGCGAACGCGCACATGGCACACAGACGTGCACTAAACACATTCAGTCACAGTCCTCACCTGCCACGAGTAATATCCACATCCTCTTTTTTCCATCGCAGCGCAGGCGGCGGGTCACCGTGGACTTGACACCTGAACTCTACGCTCTCGTCAACTAAGACCACCTGGTTCACTGGCCGTTGCACAAACACTGGTCTTTCTGGATGTCAGCAGGAACGATAATACAGAGGCGAAATTTACTTTTGATATACTGGTTAAATGATGTAGGTGGCAAAAAAAAGAAGAAGCTATGATCTATTATTTTCTGAACCGAGCATATGTGCGTGTCAGACTTCTTACCAAAAACTGAGAGCTGAGCTTTTTCACTATCTCTCTCCCCAACCATGTTGGCTGCCACACAGACATAAATCCCTGAATCACTCTTCTTGGTATTTGAGATGGTCAGCTTTCCTCCACGGACCTGAGGAAGAAAAGGCACCTGTAACTAGAATGAACCGGTTCAATGCAAAGTCCTTTACCCCCGTGACAGTTCCGGGTTAATGTGAGTAGCTGAGTATGTGATTTAGTGTATAGGTCCTGAAACAGCAAAGGAGTCCCCTCCCTAAGGGAATTAACCTACTGTGATCCTGTCGTCCTTGAGGTCAAGACGAGTTTTATCTTTCCTCCAGAAGGTGGTAGGTTCGGGGTGCCCACGTGGCGGCTGACACTCAAAACTGGCAGTCTCTCCAACTGCCACAACCACGTCCTGTGGATTCTGCCTGAAGTCATCACGCAACACTTAGAAATATAAAAAAAAGAGAGCAAGGATTGTTACCATTTCTTTAAGAAAATCTACTTCAGGTCACTAGTTTAAATTTTCATTCAGGTTCAGCTGTTCCATTATGTGAACCAAAAATTACCTTTAAGATTGAGCTGCCACAGGCTAACAGAACTCTATGACTCTTTTTTTGTAATTTAAGAGTTCAAAGATAATTCTGTCAAGTAGACTGTCGCAGGAGACAATCGCCCATCTGTCTCCGATAATACAGTCATCACTCTGAGGGCATAATGAAATGTATGGGCTCTGCAGATAAATGCAACACCATGTATATATCTAGGTGGGGTTAGCAGTACAATGTGCGAAGGAAAGACACACCGAAACACAGAAAGAGACATGAAAGCAAAGCACAACTATTAAAGACACACAAACAGGCAAGTCTAGATAAGAAGTAAAGTAAATGATCATGCATTAAAAATTTAAACTGTAATAAGTCTGACTACTTGAGGCTGAATCACTCAGTGTAAAAGTACCTGATAAAAGCAAGTGAGCTACACTCTGGTAAGTGCACAAAAGACATTGGCATACGGACATAGACATCAGCCTATACTAGCAATGATCCGGTCAACATTGAAATACCTGATTGGGTGAGGTGAAAAACTTTGATCATTTTGCTACAATGCAATGCTATCCTTTGAGTAGAATCTACACAAAACAACCTTGATTCCATGAGGTCACCTACAGCCTAGGGGATGCAAGGCTCCACAGCTAATGGGCTAGTGCTGGACACCACAGTATCCTCCTCAAACTAAACACACTCAGCAGGTTCAATCTCAGGGTACCATGAATTATCCCGGCACTTTAAAACTAATTTTTCTAGAAAACTTTGATAGTAAAGTACACACTGGCCTGAAATTCACCGAGTCCCTAAATCATTAAAATTCATATTCTGTGAATTTTGAATACTCCAAAAGCAGCCCAGTAAAAACATGAATAACTCTCTTCATAAATTTAATAGCCAGAACTTACTATTTACTCACTTGCTAATGAAAGTTCATGAAAATGGATACTATGGTTCAAAATGATATTAGGCGTCGGTGTGTTATGGCTATGGTCAAATCAGGCACCTTGAGATGATTGAAAATATTCACTCTCCAATTCATTATTGTGTTTACTTTAAAACGCTACCAAGCTGCATCAAAGGCTGCACAGCGGTCTCTTAAATAATTCAAACAGTTATTGAACATTTTCTTATACAAAATTGATGATTTTCAATGTTTTATGAAATTCATTATAATCATAGTTACATTTCCAGTAATATTTCTTGACATAAAATATTTATTTATTTTTTCTCTTTCTGAGACCTTGGATGACAACAACGGTTGGTAATGGGCCTGAATTTTTCAGCAGACACAGGGTCAAACTTTGGTTTCTTAAAAAGAAGTTGAAACACTGCATATAGGAGTTAGGAGAGGTAGTGCAAATAGTGACTGGGGATGCCAATTAGATCAGACTCTGTTGGTGGATGTCTATGAAAAAACAGGAGCAGGAACAAGGCCAGATTTAGAACTAAGAATAAAAATTTGTTTCAAAACAACATCTTTAACAGAGATGCTCACGTTATACTTGAAGTTATACACTGACATGATATGCTATGACACCTGGATGAAGTATGGTGGTTAAAAAAATATGCCTTGTTTATTCTAATTTTCTGTCTAGGGAGCTGTAGTTCATTAGAATGCCATTCATGAGCACATTCTCCTTTCTTCCTCTCTTGTCAACATTTTAATTTACCCACGGCAGGGATATCTGCTCTTGATTTTGTGTGTTCAAAGGATCGGAAACATCAAGGATTGTCAAGCAGTCCCTGTAAAAACCATGCATTTTGAACAGATGTATGTGATAGCCGCTGCTAAGTTAAAGGTTAATGCTTCAAAAACTCCCCAGTTCTGTCACAGTTGTTTTCCACATATCATTTTTAAAACTTGTTTTTTTTAACTAACCACAGGATTGACTGTACTGTAAGCCATCACTGAAATAACAGTTAAAAATAGATATCATGATCTGGTTCATGCAATGAGCTGTTGCCTCTTTACATTAACAACTTTTGACGTCTTTTATTTATTTATTTATTTTTTTAACAAGTCTTGCTCTAGGCCTGTTTTAAATTACAAAGTGTGCTGTATGGCAACAATGATGATTTACAAAATTAAAAAATAAATAAATGAATAAAGGGAAGTTTTCAAATTAAATAACTGTCTGTTGTTTAATACAATTCTGCTGTTTCTAATTTTCAGTGAGATGAATTAATGAAAAACTAGAGCACTTTATCATATCCCACACTAGATGATAGCCTGTGTTTGCTTTTCATCCACATTACTGCCATAAGCTATTCTGCTGATATACTGTAACATGAATTCCAAGTCCCAGAGGACACCTCTAGTGAAAAAGCAAATCAGGAAGGAGCCAACAGCCCTTTTGGCCTAACTGTCAATCACATCCAGTAGCTAGAGTAAACGAGCCTCAGTCGCAGACACTACTTTGGCACAGACATATGCCTAGCTGGCTGTCACGTTGTACTCTACGCTTACTGACCCATTCCATGAAGGCAACACTGCACTCATCCAGTCACACAACTGCTTTCCTGTTTTTGTGTTGTCACATCAGAGATGCTTCTCTAACAGCTTGTCCCAAGAGACCGTGAAACACACAGGAATAACTGGAAAACCAGTTAGTTGAAGATGAAGTGAAAACCCAATTACAAGAAGTAAGGCAGGGGAAAAGGCAGTCTGTCTTAAACAAAGGTTGCTGGTTTAATGTAATGGTGGAATTTATAACTGTCACACTATACTGGCAATACACTACAAAAGAAACATATTCTAGGCATGATGTCTGGTGTCAGATACTAATCCATTATCAGCCACTTGCAGCTATACAGTATCTAAATCTAAAGTACCAAATTCTCCCTGTCTCAGTGTGAGCTTGGTCGAGCAGCCAAGAGCCGAAATGTGGAGGTCACAAGTCCAAGAGGAGTTTTTGAAATATGAAGCACATTTATTTCTTCTTCCAAAAGACACAAGAAAACATATTTCTAGCCAAACCCTCTACCCAGACACCAATTCAAAATGCAACTAACATAATCTCTACTCTACTTTAATCCTTTCTGGTGCATACCAGATAAAGAAAGAGTTTCTTGCACACACACAAAAATGCTCAATATTCACATAAAAAGCACTTCCAAAGCAATTTACAACATCTATCTATATTGACAATTCCCCAAATGCAAGTAAATATCATTCAAATAAATATATCAATACATCTAAACGGTAACACTAAACACCCTTCTAACTAATACGCACTTGATATTACTCTCCAGGAAATAATAAAAGACTGTAGTGGGCCTAGGCTTCTGCTTGAACATATCAAGACTGAGGAAGAGGCAGGGGCAAATTTGTATAATGGATGGATTACATTGTAGTGCTTGTGTGCCAGTAGCTGGGCAGCAAATATCTGTGTATCAATTACTCCCATTATTAATAGCAATGTTCTGTGGTAACTGAATCTAACTAGCAGTTACATTCTGATACACTGTACCTATTGTCTCTGGGCTATTTTTTACTTGTGATGCCACACATGATTTAAAATAACAATTTATCTCTTGATTTACTTTGGTTTGCCATGAATGGTGCACACAATTATCTAAATAGTTTTGGAAGAGAGTAACTTACAATTTCTTGATGATGGACTACTGCAAACTTGAAATTTGGTCTCATTAATAAAGGTTGCATAGTTACAAATTATACATGTTACGGCGCAGCGTAGTAGTGCAGGGGTTTGCACTGCTGCTGCATTGTAAGCAGGTTCTTGGTTCAATCACCTCTCAGTGTCCAGTTACTCTGGCTCCTTCACGCAATCCAAAGATATCCAAGTTAGGTTAATTGTTGATACTAAACTTTGTGACGTGAGATACTTAAAGTGTATGAGTAAAACCAGAGAAGTGCTATGTAAATGCCATTCTGTGAACATTATCAGACTATACAAAAAGCAAAATAATAAAGCCCAGCAGTCTGACTGCTGCTTTCTCTCTGATACACTGAAGTAAACCTGTTTTCTTATACAGGAGAGATAAGATTGTCACAGTACACAGACTCATCCTGTCTATTTCAAATGATTTTGATTCCCTAAGAAGAAAATTGTTCTTTTTGTATGTTTCCAGAATTTTCCATGCTCACTTATTCTCTGTGCAAGGAAAGAACATTTCTACACAGGTATTAGTGACACCCACTGAGAGGTCTAGGCAGGTTTCTGTGAGTGCTAAATTCAAACTTATGTGAGGAATAAGGTTAAGGTGATGTTAATCTGTTGATCCTAAATGTGGAACCCCTGTGGAGGCAGCATCCATGCGTAGGCTGTTGTCAGATGGTAATTATTTCAGATGGTGGGCTGCCACCACTGCCTAATGTTGTCTGATTGAGTACTGCTCAATTATTCAAACAAGGCATTCAGAGGACTCACTCATTTGCCAGTTACATTTATCAAATCAGAAGGAGAGTGACTTGTAAATGGGCTTCATTTCGTGGCACAATGGGTGGTAAAAATATGTGACAAGGTAGAAGTGTCTGAATACAAATAACTATACAGAGGCTTATTCTATGACTAATAGAAAAAGGGTGTTAATGTGGCAGTTGTAAATTCTGAGATATTCCATCTCACTGTTTTGATTTCTTGAGACTCTCTACAGGCTCACTCTACAACTGAATTTCATTACAGCATTTCACCAGCACATCAAATCTGTGAAGATCCCACTTGAGCACTGGATGCATGTTGCTCAGTTTGCAAGCTGCCCAGACGACTCAGAAATAGAAAATCATCTCCATTTTGTCACAAGTACATGGATTTAAAGCAGTATTTATTAACTTACAGCAGGTGATGTTTCAAAACATGCCTTGCTCTATACAGACAGGGCATTTATTAGACGCTGCATTATCTGGTACAACTGCTGTCTCATGTACCCATTAGG